AAAATAATGTTACTGATAATATGGCCGATCAATCGACTACTATCACAAACACTAAATCAACAAAACAGAATACTGTGAAATCTTCCAAAGAAAATATTGTAGGAATTGATTATCCTTACATATTACAGGTTGGTCAAATTCGCAAGTATTTATTATTATTATTATCAATATTTACAAACAAAAATATACTTCAGTCAATATTATACCTTTCAATCCGATTAATAAATAAATTAATTAATTAATTAACTTTTCAACAGTCAAGCTGTATATTTACTGTTATTTTTAATATATCCATTCGGTTCTGTACAGTTCATTTATATTATATAACTTCATTATTGTGCAAATGTTTATTTACTTTTCTATTTAAATCGATATCTTTATCTGAATTTATTCATTCTTACAGGTTTCACCTACATCTTTACGCTTACTTGATGGTCCAAGACTTGTCGAATATGTTCAAGTGACTTTAGAATGGCGTATACATTTAGCTAGTTGTGCTGATCCTTATGTTTTATTATGTACTGAAGATGATGAATTATTTTTAGTACAGTTAAAAAATCAAGATGATATCAGTAAATTTAGTCCAATGAAAAAATCAAATAACAAAGTTATCACATCTACACTAATCGACGAAAATGGTGATCAACCTGCAAAATCAATATCTACAGCTCATTTAGAAGTGATCAGACCAAAAGTTAAACAGGCAAGAAAAGCACTCATTCCCTACCCTATTTCTCTGAGTTTTTTTATTATAGTTAAATCAATATTTTTCATAAGAGTTATGTTTGAATTTTGATAAGAATATCGATAGTGTATCAAGTTGAAAGTTATTGTAAAAATGTAGTAGTTCGGGCAATTTTAGAGATGTTTAGAGACTTCTACAGTTTCTCACACAGATTCATAATGATCTGCATGCGTTTATGTAAGTAATGACATGTCATATTGTTTAACTCCTAACCTATCTCTTCATGGATATGTAGATGTAGGGAGCTAGCTTATTTTATCCATTGCATTACTTCTCAGTCGATACAATTTAACTACGTTATTTATTTACGGTAACTTTTTCTTTTGCTATTTCGTATTTTAATGTCTCTAGACTACAATGGAGTAAATGTATTAGTTTGTGACTGAAATAAATTTCAGAAAGTTTCAAAGCCCTAGTAAAATGATTTACGAAATGTTTCCACAAATTTCATACAGAATTCCTCAAAAAAATTGTTTGACGTAATGGTCAGATGTCGTTAAATGGAGTTACAATTTAGTTGATATATTCATTCAATACATCATAGATTTTATTTCTTGTTTTTAGGTGTCTGCACCACTCTGTTTCAGCTTATATCATGATCAGGCTGGACGTTTAGCTCGATGGCTTTGGGCTTGCAAAGACCTACCAGCTGACAATTCATTTTTCAACCTACACACAAATGCTTCTCTGGATCACTTATTGTCTTGGCCAGAACCTGGATCAACTGCTCCATCTTCGGATTTCACATCATCATTCACTTCGCCACCAGAGTAAGTATTGACATTTGCTTTTTAAAATTTAAGATTATTCCATTCAGTTAAGTGTACATTTAATGTAACACATTCTCGTTTTTTTTACGTATATTCAGGAAATCTTCACATTTGATCAGTGCTTCAGAAGAAGAAAGTATTCTACTTTATGGTGAACCGATAGAAATTTGTAAAAGAGAAGGTTCTGTAGCTCCCGGCTATACCACACCACAACCACCCAGATTTTTACTGTCTTCTACATCCCATTCATCTTTAAATAGTAATATCATGGAGACCAGTGATATGTAAGTTACCTCTTGTGATTTAAATTTATTTTCATAAATTATATTCGACGGCTAAATCATTCAACTTTTAACCATTAGATAAATACTGGTTGTTCGAGAGAAATACCCTACCCAGCACTAGGACTTCACCCTCTAATCTTTCTTTACTTAATGAGCAGTAGTACACTGTTCATTAATACACATTTTCATGACTCTTCGATTAACGGAACGGAATGAAGCTTTCAATTCAATCAATATCATTCATCAGTTGAGGTGGTTGGGACATGTGTTACGTATGCCTAACCACCGACTGCCTCGACGAGCTATGTTTTGTGGTGTAGGAGTAGGTTCGAAAAAAGCTAGGAGCGGCCAAACAAAAACATGGCAGAAATCCATGAAGTCACTGACTAGTGGACTGAGTAATGTTGGTAGATGTAGACTACCTGGTTGGGGTCAGCGAGACAATAGTAACCGATGGTTAGAGACCTTGAACGACATGGGTCAGAATCGTTTGCAATGGCGCAAGTGCATCCATTCGTTGTGCTCTCTCAAATCCTAATCTTCTGGATTCGTCAACACCTCTACCTTTGTCTTTCTAACCTTATCTCACTGAATTATACTTCTTGAATAATATCATCAAACCCCAGTCTTCTTCATTACCATTAATACCTCTACTATCTTTATGACTATGGTATTTGATTTGACATTTGCGTCTGTGTGCTAATGTGGTATGGCAACATGAACTTATGTACATACGTACGAAGTTCTACGTTGCAACTGACTGACTGACTTAGTTGTCCGCAGGAATGTCTGTGTTGCTTTGGTGAATAGGAATCAACGTTTACATTCGGATTTACATTGATAAGTTCGTTTTGTGACTTGTGCGATTTCGTCAAATAAGTGTGTAAAATGGTATCTGTTATGCATATGTTTTATTATTGTTTAATGCAAACAAAACTTTCGTCCTCTCCTCGTCAGTAAATCGCATCTGAAATTTTTAGCTTCCAAGGCTGTTGCTACTACTACAAACCAATCGATTTATCTTTACCTGATTGTTAGCATACTGAATAGACTTCTTTTTTATTATTGAAATTGTCTGATACTAATTCAGGACACCAAGTAAACACTGCTTTCATTTGTTAAATTTAACAATTTTTAATGAGTAATTTAGAAAAAAACAACTGAAACACCATCTTTCTAAATTGTTAAGAAATTTCCACTTTCATAATGTAAGTTTATATTTTATTTTCATTTTTCAGTATGGATGGTTCAGGAGAAGAAAAATTGTCTAAGTATTTTGCATTTATTGTCTTCACAAATGGTGTGCTTGAAGTAAGTACTTGTTATTTGATATAACTTTGGCAAAGTTGGTTATACTGTGCATAGCTGAATAGCTTTTCCTATATTTCTACATTATGTGTTACGTGGATATTCAATAAAAAATAACATTGTTTTCTGATCATCGAACTTTTCTGCTTCGTGTTAATCTTTGCATATTCGTATGTGTTACTTTCATTTCAGTGACAAATAGTATAGTTTTCATTTTCATATTTAACAGAAAAATCTAGTTTAAACCTTTTGGTTTTTCAACCAATTTGCTGAACACGATTTTAGCGTGTCTTTTGTCGAATTTTGGTGTCTAACTTCAAAACTCTATCGTGCTCATGATATTGTATCAGCAGCTGTGTAGTATCACTGACCCTTATATAAAACGTGTCCCAGATATTTACACAAAGTTTTATTTAATGAGTTACATTTCTGCAAAAAAAGTTAGTTGTAATTAATTATTAGTTCCATTGAAACGACTGTGAAACTTAACTTACTCATCTTTAAAGTTGCCAGCATTTTAGCGAACATTTAAATGTATCCAACTAAAATTAATTATATGCCTATGAGAATGTTTTTGATAGAAAATTGTCTAATTTTATATTCTACTTCAGTTGACTTATTTCTACTTTTAACTTTGTATTAACATACTTTGGATAAATTCTTTTTTCTTACAGATTTATAGTTTGCCAGATTTTACTTTACTCTATGAAGTTCATCATTTCAGCGATCTTCCACAAATGTTGATAGATCATCGCGGTGTAAGTAGTGAACAACTTCATAAACGATATACAAACTCACAAAAGTAAATTTATCTATTCTTTTCAGTCATTACCAATAATTGTTTCCTAGTGTTAGATGATTACTTATCATTATGTTATTCTGTGTTGCGTGAATAGATTGTTTTGTTTTTTTTTGCCTTTTTAAATTCAATGCGTTAATACATACATAACAGTTGTTTTCATTGGTTAGGCTCGCTTATCGACTTTGAATATGCCGATGACATAGTTCTATTCGGTGAAGACGCTGACAAAATGGAGAGTCTTCTGACCACCCTAAGCAACAATGCAAGCATGTTCGGGATGCGGTTCTCACTGTCGAAATGCAAAATTTTGCTTCAAGATTGGGTTGCATCGGCACCTGAACTAGTGATAGGGAGTGAAGTAGTGGAGCGTGTAGACCGCTTCACTTATCTGGGGAGTCTCATCAGTAATTTACGCTTACATTTCAAAGCCAATTTTGTTTTCAAGACATTAGTTACTTTATTATGCTTAGTACATGTTGAGAAAGTGGAGATCGTTGAGTGATGATGGGAGACTCATATTTTTCACATGAAATCCATATATGAGATTTTGAGAAATTATTGTTATATTTCAACTTAGTACTAGTATGGGCTTGGAATATTAGATGATGGAAAGTAAAGAAATTTTTCATGTAACCAAAAATTGATATCAATGATGAGGTTGTGGACACTTTCATTCAGTATCAGAATTTATTAAACAGTTTCTCCTTTAAATTTAGCGTATTCAATTAGACTCTAGCATTCTGTTCAAAACTGATATCATAACATGATCAGCGCTATTTACTAAAACAAGATGAAAAGTGCAACATATATTTCAGGTTCATAATCTTTATATCACTTCCGTGTAAACTATGTCTACTCATTCTATATATTTATATTTCCCTTAACTATGATATAATTCACTAATCATCAAGTCATGTCATAGAAACGAGTATGGTTGCTTTTGTCTTGATCAAGACGATGTATTTTCAAAGATTAGTAAAATCTGCTGCACCAGTTTTTCTGTTCATATTTTACGTTGTAAAATTCTAGCGGTTTCACGGTTTCAATTATTAACAGTAAAATTGTAGTTGGAACAGTATAACTGTACATATTTTCATAAATGTACATATTATACACAGATTATTTATTTAAAATTATATGAAACATATTTTTTGTCAATGTTTTTAAATAATATAACTAAGTTATCATTTATCAATGTACATTAGCAGCGTAATATAACTTTATCATGTAGAGTAGTTGTATAGACATTTATATTTTCCAAAATTTGTAGCACTAACAAACAAAACATTATTTTTCCTGATGATAATTATTTCTTATTTTCACTATTTTTACAAATATACATTTAGCGCACCATACACGGAAGATGATAGTATACCACCATCGATCTTGGAAATTCTTGTCTATCCTATCGGAATCGATAAAGACCGCCCAGTGTTAATGGTAGGCTACATTTTTTAACACTTAAAAATACTACTTTTGTACATGAACTATATTACTTTGTAAGAGATGAATTAATTACTGATACGATTGTTTGTCTTCACAAAGATTTTATTCACACTAACTTTTTTGAGATCTAGCATCAGCTAGATCATCTATCGTCCAACTTATCACCAAATTTCTGTTATTGGTGAATGGGAGGCAAACCTCTTTATAAATTAGACTGTTGGAGTTTAATTAGTGTACACGAATCTAGAAGCGAGGAAAACTTGAAAAACCAAATCCTCTATACTATACTAAACACACGAAATATATTTAAATGTAATAAAAGCATTTCTCTAAAATTAAAAGTGTGCATATGTATACCATTTTAAAACTTGAAAGTTGTATTAAGATAACGTTTTAATTACATCGTAGATGAAAATTTTAAAACGATTACTTCGCTTTTATCTCGGTTACATACATATTTAGTCTATTTGTCTACACTACTTACTATTAGAAAGTAACCTTACGCAAAACAGTCATTTAAAGGCCTCCATTATTTGACAATTGATAAAAAGATCACATTTCTAAACAAGAAACATTCATAACATGTGTATACTAATACTTTACATCTTTTTCAGTAGTGTGACTATTTTTTTATGAGTTTTATTTTTTTTCTTGAAATAAACCATTAATATGCATTAATTTGCTTTTGTCTAGCCAGTAATCATATGTTATCAATTGTAAAGTCCTGATAATTAACTGTCAACTTATGCATTAGTGATAGTATTTACCTAGCAAGCTTGTTCACTATGAGATCTATTAACTTGGCCTAATTATTTGAATTTGCGGTTTCATACTAACCCATGTGAAAGTTCCCAAATTACTGTTTTCATTTATTTATTCATTTAAACACAAGCCTTGTTACAGTGGCACATATATGTATATCATTGAATTTACGTTGAGGCTGAGACACTCCCTGGTGTTTATGTGCAAAATCTGTCTGGAATCAGGGTTTTACAGCCCCACTAGATAGATCCCCTGTACCCACAAATGCAGTCTAAGGCCCGCTGGACATTCACTTTCCGTCCTCGCGATTTCGTAAACAACACTCCCACCACGAGAAAACGGTGAGTAAGACTCCCCTGACGGTGGCCAAATGAGGGCATTTTGAGAGGGATAGTAGACTCTGTCCACTCTCGGCCGTACAAGGGCTTTGGATGATAAGTTTGTCTGTACAAAACTTACTAACTAAAAGTATTATAGGTATTCTTTTACCACCATGCTATGAGGTGCACACATTGTTTGAGAATTAAAAATATTACCTAATCCTGAAAACCGAAAGCCTGTTGACTGCCTAATAGACCACAGTTTTTTTAATTCCCATATCCTTATATTTCACATTAGTTATATAATCTATTAGATCATTTTCTCATGAGTTCTATTAAAGAAACAAACATTCTAATCTTCATAATATTTACAGAGCATTTGTTTCATTACAAATGATAAAATTCAAACTCCCTAGCTCAAAACGTTTTCTCACTTAACCAGTTAAGGTTTAAGCAGCCGTATGTAATTAACATGGATGCTCACGTACAATAGGTGTATAGTTTATTTGTGTATATATGTACAAGTCTAGCTAAGATTAGTTGTATTTTTTTTAAAATTCTGTTTAAGTATTAAAGGATTGTCATGAATAATTTCATTCCGTATTCACTGGTCCATAAAAATAAAATGTAGCTGTACACAAAATAGCATAAATTTGCATTTAATTCCAAAAACACTCATTTTTTTTGTTAGTCGAATATATTAAGTTAATTTTTTTAACTATTGTAAATGTACTGTATTGTATATGTTTATCAAACACCAAATACTTTGTTTTGTTATCAATGCTTTAACCATAGGTTTTTTGACGTGAAAAAAAAATCAACAAATAAGTTTAGAAAATACACAAAAACACAAAAGAAAATCACCTGATTTATTATTCAACCTCGTTTGAATAAAATAAAGACTATATGTTACTACAAGTTACTAGTAACCATAACATTGAATTAGCCACATTAACTGATGACTTCTGAACAAACTAAAATCGATCCGTGTTGTAAAATCAAAATATTCAGCAATCTCAATTATACATATTAAAAAATCACCATATATTTACTAAGAATTAACTTTGTGAGAAAGTTATTGAAGTTACATTGAAAACTCGCGATCAGTAGTGCTCAACTTATCGGGTGCGAGACAAATACCACGAACGGTTGTCATAATGTCATGAACTGAAGTCATAGGATGCCAACTTTTTGATATGATGATGATTTTGGGTTCGAATTCAGATGAGCTTGTAAATGCATACTACTGAGTAGATGTATACTTTAATACAAAAAACTGTCTAATGTTCGTGGCTCTCTAGCAGTGACCACCTAAAACCAATCCGTAAGGTTAAATCACGACACAAAAAAGGTCATACTTCAAGACATATCGCTTAAATGAAAGTGATGTGTATGAAGTGTCTACACTTGTTGACTGTAATCGATTTCAGTCCATCTCATCAAAAATTTCTAACTAGGAATTCTTATAATCTTCATATATACTACTCAGCAAGTTTGTACCATTATACCTAAGTAGTATGCTTAATCGAAGTATGAAAATAAAGAATTTGTTTATGTTTCTATCAGTGTGAACATATGGAGTTGAGTTAACTAATAGTAACCTCTCTTTTCACAGAAAATATAACTAGCTAATTGTTTTAAATCACATGGTAAAGTATTTTCTTCTGTTATTTTGTTAAGGTTCGAACTAGTCAAGAAATAGCATTTTTTGAAGCATTATGTCCTTTACCAGATGAAGCGTATCCTCTAATTTCTGGAACATTTTATGAAGGAAGATTACGTTGGAGACGTTTACCTCTACCTTGTCCGCTTGTTGCACCACGTCGTGTTCGAACTGATCCAAAAATTATGGATGTTCAGGTATATATCCTATTTTATACTCTATATCATGGATGTGAACAGAATTAATTTAGAAAGAATTGAAAAAGGTTTTTAGCCTAGTTGGAATGCGTTAAGTCAGTTCCATATTTTCTGGACTAGATAGTTTGATTTCTAAGCTTTTAATTTAAATAGATCTCAAAAATGCCCAAAACACTTATGAAAGCTTCTGAAAATAATATGCGATTCAGGGATTTCAGTAACAATATAATACTATTTTTAGAAATAATTGCTTTGATAGGAATGCCATCAAAACAGTCGAATGGGCATGCAAGTCACAGTATTCGTACAGTAAATTATGCAAAGTATTGTGTGTTTTTAATTCATTCAACAATAGATATTGACTAGGGCGTACAATAACAGTAACAATTTATTCAATGTGACCAGTGTGATTTGTACACCCTCTATTACATATTCTAGGCCCTATTTTCCATATCCATTTTCGATTCTTTGTTTGTGTGGTAAAACGGTGGCTTTGAAAACGTTGAAAACATCGGCCGAATACGTGACTTTAATAGATAGTCGTTGTACACAGTCTATGCAAATCATTCAAATGATTATTTCCTATTTAATTTCATTAATTTATTTCATGTGAATGATACTTTGAATATCTTAATCACAAAAATTTTTGATTGAATTATTTTTTTCACATCTGGTCAAAAATAACATTTTAACCATAGTCATATATGCTAAACACATTTAACATACTTAAATAATGGTAGTGTAAATGCGTTGTTTATATCTGTTAATTTATTATTCTATTTTTCTCAGTCCACATTATTAACCAGAACACATATGTTGAGATGTTTTGAAAATATTGGCAATCATCGTGGTGTATTTGTATGCGGAGGAAATCCTATTTGGTTATTTGCTACAGAATCTGGACAGCTTCGTGTATTTCCACATTCGATCGATGGAATAATGGGTAGTTTTGCGCCATTGAACGCAAAAATTTGTCATTTAGGATTTGTTTATTTCACATTCTCTGTAAGTTTGTCTCTAATGCTTATTACTTTTTTTTTGCGAATGTCAAAGACTAACTAAACATAGAATGAAATATTTTTATTGACTGATAAACTAATTTTTCAAAAAAAAAGTAAACACAACTACAATGTACGAAATGTTATCCCTGAAATGGGAAAATTTGCATTGATATTTTTTTTCAAAAGTATCACAGAACATCTTTTATAAATCTTTCCAAAATAATGCAAATCGAAATTCAGCTTTGTTTGACCCTAGTTCCATTTAGTCATTCAAGTATCTACGCCTTTTCATATTTTTTCCTACTACATTCATGTATTATCCTAATTACTTTTATTATTAAGATTACTTCATTATTGTTGTCTCTTTTTTCACTTACAATTTTTATCATTTTATCTCCCCTATCAATAACATGCTCCTTGTAGTTGATTACATCAGCCACTCTGTTTCTCTCGTCTATTCCATTCCTGCATAAATCGAAGATGGATGGTCGTGTAAAGTAATCCCGTTTATTCTTCAGAAATTAATAGAATTACTTTGTGTCGATTTCATAAAGAAAATTACTTCTGATTGATAAAATTGCTGCACGTAGAAGTACGTGAACCGATTAGATGCATCCGTGTCATCCTAAAGTGATTGTTGTCATCTTAATACAAATCTTGTTGAATTAGATAAAATGTGTAGTTTAAATCATGGAATTACTTTAGCTAGATAATCCCATAAAATTAAAAGGCGCTGAATAACTACTTCGTCCTAGTTTTCAAATCCTCATAAATGTACATCTATAATCTCATCAAGGACGGGACTCAAGGACGTTAGGCCTCACAGTAAATGTTGTTCATCTCTCTTCAGTTACCCACGATCTGCAGTCATCCTGAATGGCAAATCGACGTAAGTCCCCCTAGTCTTAATGAAGTTGAAAAAGCGTTAGGAAATCTGAAGCGAGGACGAGCTGCGGGTCCTGATAGACTGACCCCTGAGATATTTAAGGATGGTGGTCCAGTTTTAGCAGCTAGGTTGACTGAGATCTTAGGTAGAATCTGGGAACTGGACGTAATCCCATCCGACTGGTCTCAATCACTGATTGTCCCAATCTATAAGAAAGGACAGAAGTCTTCTTGTGACAATCACAGGGGAATAAGTCTAACTAATATAGTATCTAAAATATTGGCCTCAGTAATACTTCGACGCTTAACGAAAGCTCGTGAAGAGCAAACTCGAGAAAACCAATCTGGTTTTCGACCTGGACGTGGTTGTATAGACAGACCACATCTTCACACTACGACAGGTCCTGGAACATAGACAGACATTTAGGCGTCCTACAATAGTTGTTTTCCTGGACCTTAAGGCAGCATTTGACTCTGTGGATCGTGAGGTTCTGTGGCAGTGTCTGTCATTGAAAGGTGTACCAAAGAAGTACATTAACCTTATACAAGCTCGCTACTCAAACACCACTGGTCGAGTGAGAGCTTATGGCGAACTGTCACCGGAATTCTCTACTTCAAGTGGTGTCCGTCAGGGATGTCCACTCTCTCCATTCTTGTTTAATTTTATCATAGACATGCTCCTAGAAATAACCTTATCCTCGTCTGAATTTTCTGGAGTAGACCTTTTACCAGGTGGCTCGCTTATTGACTTAGAATATGCCGATGACATAGTCCTACTTGGTGAAGACGCTGACAAAATGCAGAGTCTTCTGACTACCCTAAGCAACAATGCAAGCATGTTCGGGATGCGGTTTTCCCCCTCGAAATGCAAAATGTTGCTTCAAGATCGGGTTTCATCGGCACCTGAACTAGTGATAGGGAGTGAAATGGTCGAGCGTGTAGACCGCTTCACTTATCTTGGGTGTCTCATCAGTGCTGATAGCCTGGTGACTGACGAAATCTCGGCACGGATACAGAAGGCTCGATTGGCTTTTGCCAACCTGCGTCACTTATGACGTAGGCGAGATATTCGTTTGCTGACTAAAGGACGAGTGTACTGCGCAGTGGTTCGCTCCGTCTTACTTTATGGCTGTGAAACATGGCCAATGAGAGTAGAAGATACTCGTCGGTTATTGGTTTTCGATCATAGGTGTCTTCGAAGCATTGCTCGTATATCGTGGGACACCCGAGTTAGCAACGCTGTTATTAGGAAACGGGTACTAGGTAAGAATGGCAGATCAATCGATGAAGTGGTGAAACTTCATCAGTTGAGGTGGTTGGGACACGTGTTGCGTATGCCTAACCACCGACTGCCTCGTCGAGCTTTGTTTTGTAGTGTAGGACTAGGTTGGAAGAAAGCTAGGGGCGGCCAGACCAAAACATGGCTGAAATCCATGAAGATGGTAATAATCGATGGCTAGAGACCTTGAATGACATGGCTCAAAATCGTTCGCAATGGCGCCGGTGCATTTATTCTTTGTGTTCTCTCAAATCCTAATCTTCTGGATTCTTCAACACCTCTAGCTTTTACTTTCTAAACTTATCTCATTGAATCATACTTCATGAATAATATCTTCTAATCCTAACCTCTCCGATTACTTCTAATACCTTTACTACCTCTTCTACTATTGGATTTGAATTGACAATTATATCTCTGTGCTGATGTGGTATGGCGACATGAACTGATGTACTTACGTACGAAGTTCTACGTTGCAACTGACTGACTGACTGACTGTTCATCTCTCACACCTTTGAGTTGACATCCGTTAGTTTACATTTGTACCCTCAGTTAATTTGCGAAATTGTGCGACCGTAACATCAATATCATTTATCTGACGCTCAACATATTTACAATTTGTTTTGGGTTTATCATCTACATGTGTTAACATTAGTTTGAAAAATAGTCAGAGTATCGGTTTGAAATAGAAACAATACACAATCACTTCGCCATAACTGATAAGTCACCAGCATTCATCTCCGGAATAATCAGCTTTTAATCATTTATCGGTGGTTGAGACCTTAATATGTAATAACAATGTGACTTCTTTACTAAGCGTACTATTTGTACCACAGTCAGTAGTGCTACTCGACTGCCCAAACCGAATTAGTTGCAGTAAAGTTTGAACTTATATCCTACTGGTTGTAAGCCAAGTTTGATAACCAGTAAGCTGTCACTCTACTATTAAAACCTTACAGATTGAAGCTAACGTTAACTGTTTATACTTCATACATCATTTTCAACTACCAAATGCTTCTCAACTCACCATTGAATTTTCAACCATTCATAACTAATATCATTAAAATGGACTGATTTAGTGGCCTGTAGAGTAATTAGGTTGGAGAACACTGGTTGGCGGCCTATGCTTCATTGGGGGGTGACAGGCGTAAGTAAGAGTAATCAAAAATATCTCTTCAACTTTAAGTAGTTACAGATGTTGTTGTCTTAAACAACAATGAGAGCTTCACTGTTAAACAAATAAAGCTTTAAGAACACAACTCACAAACAAAAACTACCTTCTAAGTAATTAACTTCTTAAAATATTCTATCAGTGAGTAATTACTTACTATATAAATCCATTAATCTTTAAAATAATTGGTCTAGTCATGGTATCGCAACAAAATAACAATGTATTGTTCTTATGTCTTTAAATTTGCTGTTTCTCATATATTTGTGTCTTCATCTGTTCAGTTTCATGACTAAATTATGATAATGTTAAAATTTTTAATGTATACTAATTCATTGGTTAGCGTTCTTTTTGCAGAACTGAAATCGACTGAAATCACACATATCAAAGTTTTACAGTCGTCTGAACATCCTCATTTCCCTAGACGAATTTGTACAATATCAATACAAATTAATCAATTACAATTTGTCATTGTTTTCGCATTGATCATACTTTCATTTTATTATACTTCACACTATCGTTCTAATCTATTTTAAAATGATTTATTATTTACGAATGAATTTTTCTGTTCAATATTAGACATTTCTCTTTTTTTCAAATCTGGTAATGATCAATTCGTGTTTTGATTCTAATTATAATGAGTAGGATGAATGTAGGTTATTTAACAAGGATAACCCCAGATAAAAAGACTGAATGTTTAGGTCATCACACAATTCCAGATTAGCAATTTACAATATAAGAATAGAATCAATTATGTTGTCACGACACATCTATCATAACATTTTAACGTTTCATTATGGTACAATATTAAAATCTTATCAGAAGTATACTCTTGTCTTATCATCTCTAGGTGTATTGTTTTCTAGAATGTCACTATTTGTGATAACTTTTAAGTCTACATAGAAATGTCATTGAAGATTTTTGAAATTAATCAAGTTATCATGAAAAAAAAAACAGCATCAACGCTAAGCTAATCATTGTTGTAATTAATAAATTCGTCAATATGTATTATTATATAAGACAATAATAATAGTATATTTCTGTGAAATAAGTTTCAGGTGTATTTTATTTCCATGCTCCTACTCCTAACAGGTTTGCTGCTAAATGGTTAGGTACCAATGATCAATGTCTTTTTATCAAACGATTTGATATGACTATTGGAAACATAATGACTCCCGTTATGACTTCGTGGTGCGTTCTTTCTCTGCCACTATTCATAAATATATCTTTATACTGCTAAGTATGCTTCCTAGCTAACTATCTTTAACTGGAAAAAAAAACAGTTTTCTTGTATTTCTTAATTAGTAAAACTCTGACTTATAGACTAAAACACTGGCTTTTCAAACAGTCAATCATATATTTAAACACAGTTTCATGTACTCAAGTTTAAAGTTAACCAAACACCATACAATATATAGAGTAGCTCTCATATACAGTCGATATTATTCTCTACCCAAACACATAAACTTACTTATGTAGGTTTTTAAGTAGATATCACAAGAATTCAAGTTTATCCTAGAAAAAAAACTTACCTTAAATTTCTCAAAATTACGTATTATTTAGTTTGTGATTTTTTTTATATGTATCTTATTTCTTCAATATAGAATGAGATGCGTTTAGCTACCCTACCTCCAGGTTATTCATTTAACGAGCATGTGGGAATAAAATGGATTACTCTTGATCCAGTGCCTTACTATGTACAATATCATGTAGAAAGTAAAGTGAGTACAATACATGTGTACATATCATTATTATATCATTGATATTTGTATTCATTCAAATAACACTGAATCATATTTGCATATTGTTTGTTTACTTTACAAGATTATTTGTGTACATTAGTAACACAAATTGTTTGTCTCTATCTTGCGTCTTTTCTCTCTCTCTCTAGTCTAATCACCACTGACTAATTCATTTAGTTATTTGGTGTTTCTTACTGGACTTAAGATAAACCATTTTTTACAATATTACAAAATCTTAAAGTTAATTTACTTATTTATGAAGCACTGACAGTGTATTCGACCAACAACTTTAACACTGATCTACTTTAGAATATACTTTATTCTGTGAAGTTTAGTGATACTACTGTCTAAATCTCAGCATATATAGAAAGGCGTTCGAATGTACTACGTTTTGGTTGAAAGCCAAGTTCGTAGATTTAAGTTAGGTTATTTGTGTATGGGCTAGGGAGATCACGCAGCCGCCCAAATAAAAGTAGATAAATTCAAGTTCAAACTTGCTACCTATTGTTTGAAAGCAACATATTGTGTGATTGTTATAATGATTATCATTTTGATTATTGTTGTCATGCCTCCATTCTTTTTATTCTCGTGGGCTTTTTAAAAATTTATATTAGTCCATGATAAAAGCTATCTTCAGTTCTATATTGCTAGCAGCACACTGAAGAATAATGCTCATTGATACTATCAGTATCAATGTATTTTAACCAAATTAGTATTTCGAAATTTTTATTGTTAGTACACGTTGTATTATATGACATGACGCAATATTGTTTTATTTATGAAAGAAAGATTCCCAGTAATGAATCAACATTAGTACCAAGTTTGGTGCTAGTAAACTTAACAGTACCACTTATTTTCATCAGTATTCCTCTCTGTTTCATGAATTTTGTGAACTTCTCAAACCTCTTATAACAAATGTATAAATAATACAATAAGCTTTCGTATTTTAATTTTGTCTTAATCAACTATGTTAACTGCATAAAGTGTACTTACTACGAATGGCCTTATAAAACGTTTCCAACCTATCATGAACCAGAATGTTGAAAAGTACAAGCGTAAACATTATGGTAACTAGTATTATTTTCATTCAAGCCTATCTGAAAAAAAACTATTTTAGGATTCAGTCATCAAATACAATAGTCAAAAATGTTTGTGAATGGAAATAAATGATGTTTAATCATTATAGAGAAACACTTTAAATATCTTCTGTTTCACAAACCGGTAACTATCTGGACTCAGTAGCTTGGTTGATGACACATTGGACAGGTAAAGCAAAGGTTATTGAGTTCAAGTTGTAGTTAGGCATCAACACTGGGATACAAATACATCCATCCAAAGAGTCCCAAGTGCGACGAAACGTGCGTTCTGGATCCGAGTAGAGTCATTCATTTGACCTCACCTTGTCAAGGTATATAACCGTCGCGTTTTAGGATCCGTGTTTCTGGAGCCCCACTGCTGCTTCCTGTAACCTCGCTAGTGTACGTATAGCATTCAGTCCTTGGGAAGCACTAGCTCTCTTAGGCTTGATTGCGCTGCCGACTAAACGCGGGCCTGGAGCTCCTCTACGGTAACTACCGGTCCCATGTCTCCATAAAAGGGAAGGGTTGGGCATGGAGTTAGCGACCTCATCATGTTAAGAACTGGCTTACCAAAAAATGCTAACCCGAAACGGGACGGAAAGGACTCAGAAAGCTAGGAACATTCGCCATTGCCTCCTCATTGTCTCTGTCTACGCTCGGACTTATTGTAACTCGGATGAGGTAAAAGATGAATTTTAGAAGGTAAGGCGCTCTGATGTAGTAATAGTGGCCGATGACTTGAATGCTCAAGTAAGTAGACGAAGCGAAAAAGGAAAGACACCTTAGTGGATCTAATGGTGTCTTAGCTCATCGAATAGATAATTACGATAGTCTGCTGCAACTGTGCTCAGATGAATGTCTATATCCGGTAAACACCAACTTTAATAATAAGGAAAAACTTCTCTTGACATGGCGACCCCGAAATCGATCCAACTCTGGACACAACTAGACCAAATTGCTATCAGCCACCTATGGAGAGGCTCGATAGAAGACTGCTGCCCATTTTGGAGCACATGTTTAGATTCAGACCATGCTCTACTAATACGAACGCGTATTTGTTTTCTCCTTACTGGACGTAAGAAAAATACTGCAAGAAAGCCTCTTGGGGTTCTACTTAATGATAGAATAGCTAAGAATATATTTCAGAAACAACCAGAAAACGTTTAGACAGCAATTTAAGTGATGCCCACCCTGAGGCAGCTTGGAATGATATCCTTAAAGCAGTGGAAGCAGTAGTAATATCTGCCAGCAAGGTGTACCATAAGGTTGATTGGAAGCATTGAATTTTGCTAGCATGTATTGCGCTGATAGACGCTTGGAAACCTATCCCATCTAGCTCTGAACATGTTGAGGAGCGGAGTCAGCTTACGCTCAGGATGATAATAAGCCTACGCAACGATAGCGAACAGCGGTGGTTAGCGAAAGCAAGACAAGTGGAAAAGGCAGCAGCAATAAGCAATAGTAGACAGCTATTCAGAACTATCAAGGAAATCGGTATTAAAATTTGGCTGTTAGTTAGATTATCTCAGATAAAGATAGGCATATTATCCATTCTCAATCCAAGAGATTGGATTGATATGCAGAACACGTTAGAGATCAGTTTAACTGGCCTTCAGCCACACTTCGGTTACCTACGATCTCCGGTTTACTTGAATGGGAAATTGATGTAATGAGGTTGAAAAGGCTATAGGAAATCTAAGCAAAGGAGGGTTAACCGCTCGAGACTTCCAATAAAGTTGGTCCAATTTCAGCAGATTTACTAAGATCTTAGGTAGAATCTGGTAACTGGACATAATCACATCTGCCTGGTCCCAATCACTGCTTGTCTAAGTCTACAAAAGTCCTATTGTGACAATCAAAGAGGAATCAGTTTGACTAATGTATTGATCACTTTAGGTGTTGTTCTTCAAGATTGTCCACTTACTCCATTCTTATTCATCTTCATCAATGACATGCTCTAAGAAACGTCCTCTGACTTTTCAGGAGTTGAACTTTCACAAGGAGATTCGCTTGTTGACTTAGAATATGCTGACGACATAGTTCTATTCGGTGAAGACTCTAACAAAATGCAGTCTTCTGACTACGTTAAGCAACAATGCGAGCATGTTCGGGATGCGGTTTTCCCCTTCAAAATGCAAAATGTTGCTTCAGGATTGGGTTGCATTGGCACCTGAACTAGTGATAGGGAGTGAAGTAGTTGGTCTTATTGACCGCTTCACTTATTTGGGGAGTCTCATCGGTGCTGTTTGATTGCTATATAACGAAATCTCCACGGATACAGGAGGCTCGACTAGCTTTACCAACTTTCTTCATTTATGGCGTAGGCAGGATAGCAGTGTTCCAACCAAAGAATGGATTCATTGCGCATCAGTTCGCTCCGTCCTACTCTATGGTTGTGAAACATTGCCAGTAAGAGTAGAGAATATTCATAAATTACCAGTATTTGATTGTAGGTTCCCTCCAAACATTGTTCACATATCGTGGTACCATCGGGTAAGTAATTCTGGTGTTAGGAAAAGGGTACTAAGTAAGGATGACACATCAATTTTCGAAGTAGTGAATCTTCATGAGTTTAGGGGGTTGAGACATGTGTTGCATATACGTAACCACTAACTGCCTCAATGAGCAGTTTTTTGTGATGTGGAGGTAGTCTGTAAGAAAGCCAAGGGCGACAAAACCATAATGTGGAGCAAATCCATGAAGTCTCTGACAACTGAACTAAGCCATAAAAGGTGCTGACTACCTGGTCGGAGTTGTAATCGTATTGAGTGGTCAGAGACTCCAGATGACATGGCTCATGATCGTCTGCAATGGCGCAGATGCATCCATTCTTTGCGTTCTGTCAAATCCTGATCTCTTAGGTTCATCACGACTGTGTTTTCTCTTTGAACCCTAATCTTTTTGATTAGCGCTAATACTTTTGCTACATCTACCACTGTGGAATTCGAATTGAAAATTCCATTTCTTTGTGCTTATGTGGTATGACGACCCGAACTGATGTACGCACGTATGTTCTACGTTGTAGCTGACTGAAAATATAAGCGTACCATTGAAATTTTTATTTGACTTCCTCCATTCAAAAAGTCTTGTTTATCTCAATATAAAATATGGTGATCGTAGCAGAATAACAATGATTTTCCACCTATTTTTTTACTTGTATCTTAGACATATGCTGTTATCGGCATTCATTCAGAACCGTGTAAATCTGTATTTCGATTGAATGCTGAAGGCAATAAAGAAGAAGATGTTTTAACTCGTCCCAAAACATGTGTTCTGCCAACATTAGATAATTACTCTTTACAAATGTATGCACCAAATTTAAATGCTAATCATTATAATAAGCAATCACCATGGCTGTTGATACCCAATACACAGTAAGTTAATAGTTTCACTACTATCATATATCGTTAATTATCTCTGGTTGTATTCATCTGGTCAATTTGAAGAGAAAATATTATTCGGATCCGAGCATAGATTTAGCTCAAACCATATTTTACAATTTCATTATCCGTGCAACTTCTTACTGTTTCTGTTGTTCATTCCTTGTTGTTGCACTGATGTGTAGTTTATAGCAGCTTGGTTCAATACTTATTTATGCTGAGTTCTACATTTATGACAAATTACTTTGTACATAGTAAACTTAGTGAACTGACACTGGTGCTTATTGACTCATTTTATATCTTTCTGATCTGAAGCCTCAATTCTAAAGTTATAACTTTGAATTCTGAAATTTTTAATGATTTTTTGTTTTTAATAATTCGTTAAGTCTGTATGTTTTCCGATCTTTTTTATTCACGTCAGTATTGTTCTATACAGCAAATAAATTTGCTCTGAAGAAGTGACTTGCATTAAGTCATTGTTATGCATGCACGTAAACACTTCAGTTGATATGCTTGAATTATTACGAGTATACCTTAGTCGGAAAACGAGAGCGAGAATCGAGGATCCGGCGACACGGCAGGCTGATCTAATCCGATTGTCCCAACCCCCTATTGAGTAAAAGAAGAAGACTTGATGTGAAGTAGAACCTGTATTCTACAAACATCCAGAAAGTACGAGGTCCGAGTCCAGAAGAGAATCAGGATCCAGGTCCGAGTCATAAAACGTTCCTGATAATGCTTATTTATACAGTTAGGTCGAAAAGGATACAACATCGATGTCTGTAACATTGACAGTTAGCACGACCAATAGGAAACAATATTCGAAGTGACATTGATAGTCAGGACGATCAATGGGAAACAACATTGAAGTACGTGACATCGATAGCTAGGATGACCATAATATTGACCAATAGAATTAGACTTACAAAAATAATTCTCTTAGGATATTTGATGAATATCCTAACAGTTATAAAACGTCAACAATACAAACCGCTACGGATTGGCATATTACAAATAAATTATCATCATTTTTTCGTTAGAAACTAAACAAATTGAATTCAAAATAAACACTATAATATTTGATTACGAAATAATTACAAATTGAAATGAATAATTATGAAACACTTAAAGTGTACAGTAGTTATATTCACTGCAATTATTCTGACTTTCTTTTTAAATCCATTCTCATTCATGACTTGATATACTCCTTTAAACAAGGTAGAAGATCGTTAAAATATTTCGCGTTTAAAACTCCACGACTGTACATTATTTAATTAACATATCAAAAACATCCATTTAAAATCTGTTGTTATTCTGAATTAACTACTGTGTATTATTGTCTACTTTAACTCCTTTTTTTAGCATTGAATTTGAACCGTGGGAAGTTGTCACATGTTTGATTACAGCACAATTGGCATCTGAAGAAACGTTTCATGGTACAAAAGACTATTTAGCTTTAGGTGCAAATTTGTCATATGGTGAAGAAATACCTGTACGTGGTCGAATTATGATTTTAGACGTGATTGATGTTGTACCAGAACCTGGTCAACCGCTTACTCGACATAAATTGAAAATTTTACATGATGGTGAACAAAAAGGTCCAGTGACAGCTTTGACTAGCTGTCAAGGCCATTTAATCAGTGCAATCGGGCAAAAGGTAATTGTTAAAATTTTATCATAACTAATCACTTATTTGTTGTTTCTAAAACTAATCACTCCCAATGCAATTCCTATAATTCAAAGAAATCGAGATCAAAGACTTCGTGATATCTTACTATCTGCTTCTCCTATATCGTTATTATTTACTTATGCATTTGTAAATCTTTTTGATAGCAACTTCCAGTTTCTTGTATACAACCGAGAATTAATTCTTTGGATAAATCATGAAGATTTTTGCTAGAATTAATCCTAACTAGGTTTATTGTTATCGATAACTTATTTGTTCTGTGACTTCCATTTTCTGGTATTTCAATCATACCCCTGTGAGTATTATTTTACTACCGCATTGTTCAAAAAGCCGCTTTGATCTTAGATGACTTCATAGTGATTGATCAGTGATCTCTTTCTATATTCTTTTATCAGGAGCCTAAATCTGTTGATTGCTGATTAATAAGTCACTTGTTTTACATGAATAGTAACTTAACAGTAAAGCTTCAAATCCTTCTGGATGTTCGTCAAATCAGTTCAATTTTCAAGTCACATCTTAACTATCTAGTACAAGCGATCCCAGTCAAGTGAAGTAATCCAGTGTAATTCATTGTTCACGTTATCAAAAAAGGTATTACAATGTGTAACAATACATTACAAGTAAAATAAGATCATAACTTTATTTGAAAATCTCTGTTATTCCTAATTGTTTTTCTTTAATGACGATTGAATACCACTGATCATATAACGTCAGTACTCGTGATTCAATATAGTAGCTTAAGGTCGTGTAGACTAATCAATAAAAAAGACTCTTATTACAAAAAAAACAGTTTATTCTGTAGGACGGTGACACGTGTTACTGTTTAGTGCTATTGTACAACGACTTATTGTTTTTGTCCTAATTTTCACTTTTTTTAGAAAAAAAAAAGCAAACAAACAACCCACAACTGAGCTCATCTTAAAATTTGAATTTTATAAGCATCTGCTTTCATTTTTAATTAATGATAATGTTTACTTTTCACACACACATTGTAGGTGTACTACACACAAACTTACACCTAACTATCAGTGTATTGATTTTTTTTCTATTAGTTTTTAGCATTAGTTGTTTTATAATAAAATGATATTAATTAATTTGAATTCACAATTGATGAACTATATTTACCATTAACAATAAAACATGTCTATCACAATGATATAATTAAAAAATTATTATTATCATCAAACTGTTGCGTATTCACGAATATATTCTAACGACATGAGTTATTTTTCGGAAATCATACAAAAATGTTTGTTTCGATGTATTCAATGTCATTAGTCTGTTTAATGAGAGTAGTGATTATTGATTTTTCAGATTATGGTAATGTGCATTTTTAGGAATCTTATTATTAAAACTTTTAAGAATAGCAACTTTAAAAAGTTTTTCCATATCGTCAGTGCAGGTGCATCCACTCTTTGTGTGCTTTTTAATTCTAACCTGAATTCCTCATAATCTCTATCTTTCTCCTTCTAAATTTATCTCACTGAATTATACTTCTCGAATCATATCTTCGCTCCCTAATCTTCTCCATTACTGCTAATACTTCTACTATCGCTATCACTCTTGGATTTGAACTGACAGTTGCGTCTCTGTGCTGATGTGGTATGGCGACCTGAAATGATGTACTTATGTACGAAGTTCTGTGTTGTATCTGTCTGTCTGTCCATATCGTCAGGACCTAAATTTGGTATAAAAAAGAAACGAACTGATTAAAAAATATCAATATTTCAAACCATTGAATAACGTTGGAATTATTCTATTCCTAATTTTTTTAATTCATACTTCTATATCAGTCTAAATCAACCGTCTTAATCAATATAATGTTAGATGGGGAAAAAATTAGTTTTACTAAATAATTTTTCTCAATCATATTAGTGTTTCCTCGTATTCCTCTGACTCACTGAGACGTCAGTCACTAGAAAGATGTGACTTTTTTTTTTACTTATCTTGTTACTTTATACAATCTACTCTTCATTAATCTTTTTTTGATCATATCTGGTTGACAGTTGAAACCTTTATTATTCATTTTCACTGATCAATAGATAGTTGCACAAATTATAACTAATTAATCACTTTCTAATGTTAGCAGATTGATTTATTCCAACAAACCCCTTTTTGTCGACGTTAAAGTATGCTGTCGTATATATCAAAGAATAAATTTATAACCAGATCTAAATTTGCATTCTGATATATAACTGCGGAGTACAGGACAGTTAGTATTTAGTAAGAAAATCAATCAGTAAGCAGTGTTCATGTTAGGTATTAGACCTAATTTAACAGGAATTATACTTCCAATGAATATCCTCAATACTCTTTTCTAGTTGAAATATAATCAAGATACATTTGGGTAAATCGGGTCATTATATGTTTCGTTGACATAATTTTTTCTTGAATACATACCTTACCAACTGTCTTGTGGCAATTCAATAGCTCTAGTCCCATAGATGTCTTAGTTCGCCTTGCTTAATAGTGAATTAGTGATTTTTCTCGCTACATTACCCGTTCAAGATTTCCATTGTAATTGTAAATACACTTGCTATCTGCCTTCACAATAATATATTATTGCTCCGGTTGTCTACTGTGAAAACAAATTAACGAGTGTTACTAATTATTTTGTACACTGAACTAACCAATATAAAACAATGCTATTGATTAGGATAACACGTCATGCATATTTGATTTAATTGAGTTAAATATAACTTCTCTAATCTAGACTTCTAAAAATAAATTTGCTTTGTTTTTACTTAGATCTATATTTGGACATTGAAAAATACTGATCTTGTCGGAGTAGCTTTTGTTGATTCAGAATTATACATACATAATTTATTATGTGTAAAAAATCTAGTCTTAGCAGCTGATGTATTAAAATCTGTTCAGTTGTTACGATTTCAATCAGATCTACGTGTCCTCTCTGTTGTCAGCCGAGATAATATCTCTAGGGAAGTGTATACTTCCAATTTTTTTGTAGATGGTCGACGATTAGGATTTATGGGTAAGTAAAGTTTGTTTTTATTTGTAATACTTTTTTCACCTTAATAACGTGATTATACAATAGCTGTGATATACTTTAGTGAACTAGTTTATTCATAAAATAAATTTTGAACAATTGATTACTTCAGTTAATATTGCTCCTGTTGTTAATCTATTCTGTAAACTATTATACTGTTATAAATGTAGGAGAAATCTACGGTCGGCCAAACCAAGATCTCGCATCAGTCCGGGAAGTTATAGACTTTTGATCTGAGCCAATGTCGGCAGTTGCAGACTAACTGGTAACGGTCCTCTTGATGATAACCCCTATCAGTAGACGAACACTGAGTAACATGTCTTTGAATTGTTCATAACGGCGTAACTTCATTCACTCTTTATCTTCTCCTAAATTTTAAGTTCTAGTATATCTTCATCTATATCTTTACTTTCCTTGTTCTCGAACTATATTCTCAATGTTTTGCCTTCATTAAGATGAGTATTACAATTGTTTTGACTCCTTTGCTATTCTTAATTTCATTTTGTCTTACCAGTGAAGCATGAATTAGCTTGACTGTCACCTTAGTTAGCGATACAGTTATTGATTATTGGTGAGTTGAGACGACTTGGCTTGGGTCCGCTCGTAACCAATGCTTCTGACATTGTTCAGGATCGTTATTATGTTCCGATGAATAAGGAAAATATGGCATCGCATGACCGCGTATAGTTTAGTATGAAAAGTTTTATGAATTAGAACAATTTCAGTCAGTAAAAAACAATAGTATCAGTTCGTGAATATAATAATTAACAGGTTTAAACATGCCACTCACTGTCATCTATATCAAATATTACAATACATGTTGTGTGTGTATATTGTTTTATGTATCACTGTATAGTAACATGGTTTTACCATTTAAAATTACGTTAGCTTATACCTAATTTGCTAAAAGTATACTATACTGACTGCCTTGAGTTGACCAATCAAAACTCGGTCAGCACTTCATGGATTCTGAGAGAAATCTGAATTACTATGATCGATAACTTGTATGTTATTATTGACTAAGTAAAAATCGACAATAATTGATTCTTAGAGAGCTTGGAATCAATATAAATGTCGATTACGTAACCGTAAAGTGGATCTAGAACTGTTCATAAGCGCCATCTTTTATAATATTACAAAATGTATCTGCTCCTACGCCAGGTTAAAAAAGTATTTGATGAGGTTCATTGCATAGTCAAGAGTGTCGAGTAAAGCTATGTGCTATTCTGTCTTCCTAGCTCTTTTTAAGGTCGACCCAAGTTTGTAAACGGAAGTGTAAAAGAGCATTACATTTTAGCCGATATCAGATCTCGATGAAAATGCTAACCCTAATTTGGAAACTTAACTCAAAACACCATCCTAACTCTTCATACTTCACCCTCATTTTTTTGTATTGTAATGGTTGCCAGTTGCAAACAGAAACTGCAAAGAGTAATAACCCTCACAGAATTAACCCGACTTCTAGTATGTTAATTTGACCTCCTTTTATCACACGTAGTGATTTGACATATGAGGCTTAATTATTAAAATCAAACACTATTCTACTGTTGTTTTGTTGTTAACTGTTTTATAACTAGGCATCGTTTTCTGGTTGGCTAGTAGGTCGCCCAATGTCGTCATTGCAGTATATGTTCTCCTTTAAATGATTTCGTTTACTCTAGATCTCGTATTTGCATCTCATATATAGGAGTTCTCCATATCTAATTGTTAGCTAATAATTTTTAATGTAAATTAAATCAGCTTACTTTCATGTATTATGTGACCACAGAAACACCTTGTTCCTAATCAGTTTAATTTTAATGTATAGTGTATCAAGTCAAATAAGTCCTTGAGATTTTGCCGTTTTGCATTACATTTATTCTACGGTAATTCCACTTTTTAATAGTAGTAACATTTTCGCTTTCATAAGAATGATCCTTTCAATCGGCAGTTAAATAAGTTGATAAAGCCTTATTTTTTTGGATTTCCTCACTGACTTCCAGCTGTTTTTCTCAAACTGCTAAACCAATGGTAATCTAAATTTTAAAATGTTCACCGAAGTTTAATCTATCTAAAGTTGTGTTGTTTTTATTATTTTAAAATGCGATATATTTTTGGTGTTATTTAATTTTTGTTTTTGTTGTTTTTCTTCCCATAATGATCTCAGTGTCTGATGAATTGGGTAATGTAACCATCTATAGTTATGACCCATTAGATCCGTCAAGTCGTTCAGGAAGGCGGCTTGTTCGTCGTGCAGATATGCGTCTACCGTCTCGTGCAACTTGTTCACTTCGTGTAGCCAATCGACTTAGACACGCACTCCTCTCGGTTAAACCATCATCAACTACAGCGACAACATTGACAGCAGGAACTTCAGCGATTAATCAGAATACAACTAACACTACTTTGGATAATTTAAGTCGTGTTGATTCTGGTAATCCAGTAAATAACGTAAAGCAATCACAACAACAACAGTCTTTAGCTACACCACAAGGTACTAACAATCCTAACTCTAGTGTTGATCCAGAGAAATTTAGACAGTCTATATATTTTGGTTAGTTTGATGTGTTTTTGCTCGTTTACTTTGGTTCACTTCATTCAATGTATACTACAAGACTATCTTTAAGTGGTACTATTATTGTTATTCATTTTAGTGTCATTTTATTATTACATATATTGCCGTATTTCAGAATATTCCAAAGTACCGACCATGGTTGCTACCTTGACGTGATGGTCGGGCTTGGCTACCGTGATGACTCAAATGAGCTATATTGGTTGGAATACATGCTCCTCTAGATCCTGCCGTGCTATGCCGGTCGGTTGCAGAACGATAGGACTAAAACCAGCAACTCAAGGTCTTTAGGGCGAAGTCCTACTACTGACTGTAGAGGGGCGTGACAGTAGTAAGCCTTTTCCGTCGGACAGCCAGCATCTGCAGCGGTGCTGTCTTCTCGACGGACGCAAAGGGTGAAAAAAGGTTTTTTGAGGTGTGGAATTAGCACGTTAAAGATTTGAATTAAGAAGGCCGCACATCACTGGCCTTGAACAACTAAAACCAGTACTAACCTAGCTCCCTTTTCAGGTCCCTCAAGAATAAATACCTTTCCACGGTTTCGACAGTTGGGAAGTACTAACCAGTAACAGCACCCGAAATCACCTTGTCCACTATTCAAATCCTGCCTCAACGCTTAATAACTCCTATTCTCACGACCAACCCTTTCCGTTTATCGTTACCACTTCTCACTACCAGTGCTAATAATTCGAGTTCCCGAAATGCTCTTCCTGGTCTACTGAAACTACATGTTGAAGCTTTGAATGTTTAAACTTCGCTTCGGACAGAACAATATGCTTCCTTAGCTAGGACTCTTAAGTCTTTCACTATCGATGTATGCTTCGTCTCCAAAACATGCATGCAGGATCCAAGTACAGTCATTCATCTGACCTCATCTTATCAATACAAAGAACCCACGCTATTTACCATTCGTGTATCTGGAGACCCTGTGGCCTCACTGATGTAAGTATAGCATTAAGTTCAGCACCAGTTCTCCTAGACTAGATCCTAATTGACAGTTGCTCATGTGCTGTCGAAATAAATGGAACAGTAATATCTCGGAAACATAGAAACACTCGCCGTTGTCTCTTCTTATACTCCCATTGATTGCAACTGAAACGATGTGGAAGATGAATACCATGGAAAGTTTTCCTACCTACTTCAAAAAACTGAACTTACTTACTTTCGCCTGTTACCCCCTATGGAGCATAGGCCGCCCACCAGTTTTCGCCAACCAATTCTGTCCTGGGCTTCCCTCTCCAGTTCTGTCCAATGTTTGTTCATTCCTCTCATATCTTTCTCTAATTCTCGGCGTAATGTGTTCCTTGGCCTTCCTCTTTTCCTTTTGCCTTGAGGGTTCCATGTGAGGGCTTGTCTCGTGACGCAGTTAGGTGCTTTCCGCAATGTGTGTCCTATCCACTTCCACCGCTTCTTCCTGATTTCCTCCTCCACTGGAATCTGGTTTGTTTTCTCCCACAGAAGATTGTTGCTGATGGTGTCTGGCCAACGAATACGAAGTATTTTGCGTAGACAACTGTTAATAAACACTTGTATCTTCTGGATGATGGCTTTGGTAGTTCTCCAAGTTTCCGCTCCATACAGTAGAACTGTCTTGACATTTGTATTGAAAATCCTGATTTTGGTTTTGGTTGAAAGTTGTTTGGAGTTAAAAAAAACTGAACGCTCTGATGTAATTATAGTGGTGAGTAATTTTACTGTCCAATAGGATAGACTTAATCAAACCGAAAGAAACTTTTGTGGATCTTATTGTGTCGCCGCTCAGTGAACATTAATTTCTTCAAGTGATATTCTTCTGAGTTGACCACGTTCCCCGTTTTTGTTTAATTTTTTCACGGACATGCATTTAGAGGTAACACTCATCTGACGAGGGTCGACCTACTTTTGACTCAGAATATTCAGATGACATAGGTCTGTTCTGTTCGAAATTTGTTCATTCTTCTCATGTCTGTATCCACTTCTTAGCACAATGCGTTCCTTGTTCTTCTTCTTTTCCTTTATACTTGAGGATTCCAGGTGAAGGCTTGTCTTGTGACTCAGTTGGGTCATTTCCTCAGTGTATATCCTATCCATTTCCATCGCTTCTTCCTGATTTATTCTTCCGCTGGAATCTGGTTTGTTCTCTCCCATAGTAGATTTTTGCTGATGGTGTCTAGCTAATGGACCTGAAGTATTTTGCATAAACAACTGTTAATAAATACTTGTATCTTCTGGATGGTGGCTTTGGTGGTTCTCCAAGTTTCCGTCGCATACAGTAGAACTGTTTTCACATTCGTATTGAAAGTTCTGACTTTGGTGTTGGTTGGTAGTTGTTTGGAGTTCCAGATATTTGGACAACATCAGTGCAATTTCTTTTGTGGTGGGAATTTTGTTCTTCACAGCCGGAGTATAATAGCATCTCTCTTGAAGCCAGTCTTAGTTGTCCAACTTGCGTCCAATGTGTTTCATTAATTCCAAGCACCTTCATGTTCTATCTTTTCATCTCTTCAGCATTTTGGAACAGTCTTCCGGTGTCCCACATTGTTCGGACATTCCATGTACCCAAAAGAATGGTTGCTCTGGTTTTCAGAAAGGGCTTCGGCCTCGGCTTTCATCATGAGACATCATAACTCGTCTAATTAAAGACCTAACTCCCAGGGCAGAGTTAAAATGGTTTGAATTATTTTTTAAAGAGTTAGTTTTCTACGGGATGGGGTCGCTAACTCCATGCCCAACACATCAACAACATCAGAAATCAGCTCGTATATGAAAGAAAAAATCAAAACTAACATGCAAACAACGTCAGCACACCTCTAAACAACATTCAACCAAATTCTAGGCTATTAGAACAAGCGATTAACTACTGGTGGATAAATTTTAACTTTCTAAAGGCGTGTGCTGATATTGTCAAGAAATACAACGAAAGTTGCACGACTAAACTACTCATCTTCAAAAATCAAATCGCTTCAAAAAAATATCGGTTACAATTTAATCCGTAACCCGAAGTCTATAATAAAATATCTAATAAATCTAACTAAAATGAAAATCTTGAGTATTTGGAAAGAAGAAAACAAAATGGTTTGTCATGGTAATATCTGGATTAGGCCATATTTCACCGATATTCTTATTTTATGTATGCTTGTGATTATTGTGAAATACTCATGTTATGTCTTCGAGAAACAATAGTAGTTTGTGTGTCAAACAAAAGATTATCGTTAACAGAATATAGAGATGCAGTAATACACATGTCAAATAATTAATTATACAACAACAGTATAAGCAATAATTCGTCATAAGATATTTCTATAAGTTACTGTTATCCTGATAATTTTTGTCCTGTTATTACAACCCTAAGAATGCGTTGCTTTTGCTTTTTTAACATTTTAGGCAGTCAAAATGGTTCCATTTATCGAATTGGTCCTATACGTGATAAAATGTATAGTCGCCTTCGTATAACAGAGAAAAATTTAATTCATCATCTTGGACCTATATGTGGTATGCCGCCCAAATCATGCTGGTAAGTCTTTTTCTAATATTCATTGTACATTGATTTCTGTTCTGTACCAGTAGGACATGTAAAAGTTGGATAATTTTCTCAAAATATCATTTGATATGTAATATAAGTCTAAAAAGTCGATGTCTTTTATTTGTCTAATTAAACTGTAACTTTATTGACAAATTTGTATAGTTAGAAATAAAAATAGAGCATATCTTTATGAACGATGACAATATTGATTTGTGAAAAAATTCATTATGTTATTATTCATCTGTAAAACTAAAAAACAATGACTTAATTTTAATCAATACTTATCGCTGTTATTAATAATTTGATTTATAATTGATATTCAAGTACCAACTTCGAGTTACAATGTGAATAATAATACAAAAATGCAAATCTATTCACTTAATAAGTACCAAATAAAATAAAACGCTTATCTGGGATTCCGGTGCTAGCCACAATCCATCCATTCTTTTTAAGCGTTATATTGTAAATTTATGTAAGCTTACCGTTTAAATGAATACTTGTTAATTATATATATGCTGACTGTGCAGTAGTTCGCTCTGTCCTACTTTATGGCTGTGAAACATGACCAGTAAGAGTAGAAGATATTCGTAGGTTACTGGTTTTCGATCATAGGTGTCTCCAAAGCACTACTCGTCTATCTTGGGACAACCGAGTAAACAATGCTGTCGTTAGGAAACGGGTGCTAGGTTAGGATGGCAGATCAATAGATGCAGTATTGAAACTTCATTAGTTGGGGTGGTTGAGACCTGTGTTACGTATGCCTAACCACCGACTGCCTCGTCAAGCTATGTTATACGATGTAGGGATAGGTTGGACGAAAGCTAGTGGTGGCCAGACCAAAACATGGCAGAAATCCATCAAGTATGTATTTCTTGCTGATGTGTAACATACTGACAAATGCTGGTCTATTTATTTTCCTCTCTCATCGTCATGTATGCCCACGTGTGGTTTTTTTAAATAATAGATTGCATTATGACTAATCTTCAGATAGAGAATCTAATATTTGATCTCATCACAGTTGAAAATATAAATTCGAATTCATCAGACCATTTCTCAGACGTCATGTCACTGTATTGTAAATGTGATTAAGTGTGATATAAATGATATTGTACTTTAATCTTGTTGTTTTGCTTTTCATCTAGGTCGTATAATCGTCCTCAACCAGAATTAGCTAATCCATGCGGTAAAGTTGCCGATGGTGATCTGATTTGGCGTTATCTAACTTTACCACATTGTCAACGTTTAGAGATAGCTAAAAAATCTGGTCAAAGTTTAGAAAGTGTACGTTTACATCTAATTCATTGTTTCATTTTTATTTTCAAGTTATGAGATATTCACAATATTATATTATATTACGTGTAAGAAATGTTATTTGATTTCTATTGTGTGTGTGTTTTACTTTACACATTTCATTCTTATGACACACTATTACACTTGTCAAATCATTTTTATCACGAAATTCTTATGTGTGTTAAGTATAGATCACGAACTATGCTGACAAAAACACGATGAAGCAATTTCAGAATGTTGTTAATCATTTAACTTGACAACAATTATTTACCAGTAAAATATAACGAAAGCCCAAGTAAATTCACCTCTTTTCTTGTCAATCGCTAAAATAATGGATTCCTACGAGAAATTAGAAATTTTTTATGAATCCAACTAATTAATGATAAACTGCATTGTATCATATGATGATAGAGGTGTAAAAATTCCTAACTATTAGGATTTTAGTTTATTAATGTAATTCGATCAGTGCTTTCCTTGGCCGATTTGATCTTCTTTTTATAATATTTTAGAAATCCATCTTTGTTTACGTTTTTGCACTCATACTAGTAATCGGTAGCAGAAATTATCACATAACTTCATGAATATCTGATACAGATTAGTGTATATTTGAGTCGATTGATTTTTAAGCTTGCTCCTGGCTCAGCAACTCAACCTCTTCCTCATTAGACCGCACATTCAAACTCCTATCTTATACTAGTTCTGTCTAGTAGCCGAGTTCATTAAATTAAATATGATAATTAAAATACATCAAATTGCAAACAGTTCACTTGTTTTATGTCATATAACATCCCCCTACCTTTGTTATTTGTAGCATTCATTCTGGAAAATCTCATAAATGCTTTAAAAATTTTTATTTCATTATTTTCCTATCCTGATCAATAATAAACCATTTCCAATACATAATAATATCAACATTTATATGAGTAACCACAAATAAATCTATGCATGTTGATTTAATAAAATTATTCAGTTATCCGTAGACTTACCAATCTGTGGAACATTTATAATTTTTTTATTTATATCTTAATTAAATATATTCTGAAAATAATAATTACAGAATTCAAGCCGGTTCACAGGCATGATCAGCTTGATATAGTAATAAATGTTTATTATAAGGGATAGATATGTCATGTTGCATTGTCTCAAGTGTTCTAGTTCGAAAATTGTCCAAGCAGTACATTTTTCACATATATAGTAGTAGTGCAAGGGCCTCAGTCAAGAACTATGAATTCTTTGTAACTAGACACTGTATTGCCCGACCGTAGCTGCTACCTTGACGTGGTGGTCGGGCTTGCCTATCGTGATGACCCAACCGAGCTATACTGGCTGGAACATATGTTCCTCAAGGTTCTACCATGCCAGGCAGGTCGATTGGAGAACGATGAGACTAAAAGCAGCTACCCAAGGTCTGAGGGCGAAGTCGTACTGCTGACTGCAGAGGGGTGTGACAGCAGTAAGGTTGTTTCCCTCGGACAACCAGCATCTGCAGCGATGCTGCCTTCTCACAAGGAAGGAAGGGTTAGAAAAGGTCGGCCCTAAAAATGTCCACACCTCCCCTAACTCACGGATTTCCGTCTCCTTGGGTAAGGGTGCCCACTAAGGGCCTTTAAGAACGGAGCTAATCCTCAAAAAACATTTGAAAAA